AAAGCCCATCCTGCAAATAATTCTATTGTTTGTTTTTTGCCCAGCATAAAAAGTCTGGAGGCCCTAAGCTGATTCAGTAAAGAAAACTTTTGAATAAAAATTTCATAGGAAAATCCTCCCATTTGTTCTCCCTGTTGAACTTCTAATCAGATTATAGCACTCGCAGTCAGAGAAATCTTCTTCCCTGCGGCATCACAATTCTCAGCACTAAGTGGCCTGGGGATTCACCGTGCTCTTTGAAGATTGCTATAAACTACTTCCCTCCTCCACTTGCAGCAGCTGCTCCTGAGGATTATGCGCTGGTGACAATTTCACTCGGCTGCTGTCACTAGTTTTCATTATTTATTTATTAATCCCTAAGAAACAATTTCTACCAGAAGCTTGAAGTGATTTACACATGGGGCTAATAATAATCCTATCAAACAACAGTGTTCATCTGCCTTGAGGGAAGCCTTACCCAAAGCAACAGGTCAAGGAAGGAGTTACCAACTACTATTATTAACATGAAACCATTTCTAACGACTTGACCTTACATGTGGGACCTCAGAATGCCATCTCTGAGTCCCAAACACATCTAAGTTGCCCTCAGCCTGCGAGCCGAGCAGCAGTTTTACATCAACCTTATGCTTCTTGATACCACAGACACTACAGGCTGCTCTAATTTATGCCTACCCATCTGGGATCCCAGCTGGAGTTTGGCTGGCATGAACCCATGAATCAGCACATCTCCTTTCCTTACCTCTTCCCCCGAAGGCTGCGAAGGGCTTCAGTCACATTTAGCCAGCCCTCTCAGAGCCCGGGTGCTGAGGTCTCCAAACAACCCAGCAAGGACTCAGCTTGAGCCCTGGGGAGATGTGCTGGGTCTGCGTAGAGCTGCCATGGTGTCTCAGGACCCAAGACTCGTCAGAAAAGTTGTCCAGGGATAACTGGCTGTGATTACACAGGTTCTAGGAAAGACAAAGTAAAATAATTTCACCCCTGTAAGAACCAGCCGCATGTTCTGTGATTCTCTGCTCCTCTCCCCTGAACAGGCCAAAATGTCAGCAGCCATGTCCCGGCGGATTAGGGCAGTCTTCGGGGCAGCAAACTTCTGGGCCATCGTCCTCTACAACATCCTGGCTCTCAACAGCCTGGAATTTGCGCTGCTGGTTACCAAGAGACTCCTTCTGACAGGTAAGATGCTACCAGTGTCCCCAGGGAGAGACCTTGGCTTAATGTGGAACATGTGGGAAGGGAGATAGGGACAGGAACATGCAAATTCTCTAGGGTCCAGAGCGGCCTAGCCATTGACTTGGTTTGTGACCATCCCCAAGACAGCTTAATTCTCATAGGCAGCATTTTCCTCACCTACAAAATGTACAGAAAGTGTTTTCTTTCCTGCCATCCTTCTCTGTGGGGCACAAGTTGTCTTTGAGGTGTGTTTGTAGCGCTCATAGGACAGCAGGGCACTATGATTAGGAATTTTGGGAATGAAAAAGTTGCAGGCGAGCTGCCAAGGCTGGCTGAATCCAGTTCTCTCTGGACATGAAACTGTCCCCTTGCTGAAGAAAGGGATTTACTCAGTTATTCCCATGTCAGCCTGGAGGTGATAGCTGCAATTTTTCCCTCCTAATCCATCTACTTCCTAATCATCTGTTCTTGATCGCCTCCATCATTAAATACAGCGGTTCACGCTAGGCTCCTATTAAACAACTTTATCTGTGCGTTTCGTATCTGTAGATGGTGTCACTATTTTGAAGTCTCTTCAGAGAGTGCAGGGTATAAATAGCTACCTGGAATCCATGGCTTCACAGCCCATCTCTGGGCCAGAGGTTGGCATAGAAAATGGATAATGTGACGCTTTGGGTTTATTACGTCAGAAGTGCCTGCCAGTTGAGCTAGCTGGCTTTTCCTGGTTGCCTTCTTCATTCCAGAGGTCCTGTTTTAGCAGGTACAAAGCCTGTCTCTCTCCTCTGCCATGGATACCAGACTTATGGTTACACATGCCATCATCACACACTTCCTAAGTGGACAGAGAGCTCTTTGCCCTTGGGTTGCTTATCTAGGTGACATATAAGTGTCACCTAGACACAAATAAGTGTGTTTCCCTGCAGGCAGAATATGTCCATGTTAGGTGGAGGATGTGGCTCAGATGAGATATTCAACATCACCTGGATCCAAAGCTTCCAGAAATGCGGATTATCCATGTTAGGTGGAGGCTGTGGCTCAGATGAGATATTCAGCATCACCTGGATCCAAAGCTTCCAGAAAGTAACAACACTGAAGTAACAAGGGGTTTTTGACAGGTTGACTGGGCAGAATATCAACCACTCAGCCTGAATACAGGGGAAGAAGGAGATTTGTCTGAGGGGAAGGGAATGCTCAAAGCCACTCCGTCGTTTTCCAGCTTTGATTGAAGTCCATGATGCTTTGGTGGACACAGGTGCCACTTCATCTAAAATCTAAAAGGGGTGTTCTCTTCTGCCAGTGAAGCTGTAGGGCTAGATCCAGAGTAGAAAATTATGGTGGCCACCATGACCTTGTGGAACCTCCCAAGCCTGCCTGAGGGGAAGAGGTGCCAGAGAAGAGCTGTCCTCATTACACAAGCCACCACACTAAGATGACCATGTGTCCCTCCATCTTCCAGGTTTCCCTGTCAGCACCTTGTCCATCTGGTTCATCACATACTGTGGAGTGCAGCTGATCAAAGAGCATGAGCGTTTCCTGGCCATTGAGGAGGAGAAGTGTGACAAAGCAAAGCAGGAGTAGAGGAGAACATCAGCAGGCCTGCCTCAAAACCTCAGCTCCTCTCTGACCACCTCTGTCAGGCCAGCAACTGACAGGGGCTCTCCAAGCACACCTGGCAATCAAACTGCTGTAGCTCACCCACGTGTAAGTCACCTGGAAAGCACACCCTCTTGCTGCAGTAAAGATTTTCTGTAGGACATCCATGGGCATTATGCAGGCTATCCATGCATGGTAGACTGCTGAGGTAGGCTCCTGATCCATTTCTTTAAGGTCAGCCTCACCACTTATCTGACCTTCTGCCATAGCACAGGCCTAGAGATTTCCACCCTTGTTTTCCATAACGTGTGGTCCACCAGAGCATTCAGCTCTCCCACAAGACTATGGCTCCCAGCAACTATGCAGGTCCTCCTCTGGGAGGCTGTAGGGTGGGCTGAGCATGTAGCTATGAGAAACGGATTAGCTAGTGTTGAGCCTGCTCTGAGCAGACGTCCTCCAGGTCATTTCCAGCTCAAGCATCACACATTTCTTTCATTACAAGAAATAGTCGGCATCCACTGTCAACCACTCAACATCTATATTGTGTAGTAAGGACTGTAAAATGGCTCGGTATGATATATACCTACCATGAGGCTAATAAATAAATAAAATGGGCTTTATAGCAAAGGAAAAGAGGGCTAGGAATTATGCATTGAAGAGTAATTATCCCCCCCACTGTCAGCTATGCAGAGTGATGGCTGCTATAATCTCAAACTCTCTGCAGAACCAGTCCTTTCAGTTCTACTTGTCTTGAAAAAAATTATTTAATGCCCTTCTCATGCCTAGTTAATGAAAGCGTGGGAGCCGTACCTGCTTTAGAGCCAGGGAACATCATGTACCGGCTGCCTATGGAGCAGACACTGAAGAAACACAACATGAGACTCGCACATAACCCCTCGGTCCCCAGACCCAAAGTGCACTCCACTGAGGGATGTGAGACCGATGTGGCCACCATGACCATCTTGCTGTGATTTATACCCTCAGAGTCAAACCAAATCTCACTGTTATTTTCATGCCATGGGAAGAAGTTTAAGCTTGCTTTCCTACCTGTGGCTGAGAAGCAGAAGACTTTGTACCCAGCTCTTGCTTACCTCCAGCCATCCAACCCTTTGCTCCACTGACTCTGGTGAACATAAGCTGAGCCCATGGCTATGTGCCTGAATGAACATACACATCTACAACCAAAAAAAAGAAAGACTCTAAAGGAAAGGCTGGAGTTGGTTGGGGAACGGAAATGCTTTGCTAGCGTCCTAGAGGAGTAGACTTTGGGACACTGCACTGGATTGAATACTCATATGCACTGAATAAATGTATCCGTGTGAGACACAGGGTCTCATGGGAAAAGATAACTGAAATATCCCTGGATTTCATGTAATTTTGGAGTAACATAAGTGGCCTTATTTCTGAATCACATCATTGTTTGGTGAGGGCAGGATCTGGACCACTTTGCAACCTGAGTGGAGACACTTGGTGTTGGGGTGTTCTGGTTTCTCTGTGGATAAAACAGGAATTATTCTTAGCCAGCCTTCAGCTCTGCCTAGGTACTTTATGAAGTCTCTTGTATATGTTACTTATTTATGTAGTAAATAAATGTTGGACTTCTATAGGGCCTACTGACAGTCTCTCTTTAGCTGCTGTAATGCAAACAGTAAAATGGGCAGCGTGTTGCCTTCTGAGATGAGAGACAGGAGGGTCTGTTCACAGCTCTGCACATTCCCACCTCCATTTCTCTATGAAAGATGGGACACTGCTGACTTTAACAGAGACACATCCAAGCATCATTTTCTTGCAGCTTGATTAGTGTTCACCTTTATTGTGACTCCACTTTCATGCCACTGCAGTCTCGCAAGGCTGCTGTCATCATGTAGATTTGAGGCAGAAGCAGTGCTGGTTTTTCATTTGGCAGCCTTCCAAAATGTTGCAAGTTAGGGCAATGTTGTGCCTTGGTGGCATCTCTAGTCATGACCCCAAAACCCCTTCAATGGCCGTGCACATCCCTTTTCAACCTAGGCTTTGCTGCTGGATACTATCAAATTCCTTGTTAGTTTCTTGACCTCTCCATCATCTCGCATTTACTCTGTGCCCTCAAGACAGCTAAAATATGATGTGTTTACTCCCAGGGTAAAATTCATCTCTTCTCCTTAATATGTGAGTCCTTGCAGAGCCAACGACACGCTGGGCTGCAGCAGACTGGGAGCGAGGGCTCCGTGTCTCAGGATGGCACAGCTTGGGTCTCTGGCTTCCCGGAGGGAGAAACCGAGTCACCCATCTCCTGGTGTCAAAGGGAATGACTCACATGGCAAAACCCAGTGACTCTGCAGTGCCCCCCTGACTTGGATACTCTTGGAGAGAAAATAACCCATTCACTAAGAATCTAAATTTACTCAGCAGCTGCATCTCTTGGAGCTGCCATAAGGAGCTAATCTTAGACACCATCTGAGCAAGTAATTTGTTATAGAGCCAGTGCAAGGGAGAACTCAGGCTTTCCCCCACTTTGCATGAAGTTAACCCTTTGCAATCATGCTCAGTTATGGTTGTGGGAAGCCCAGAGCTCTGGGAGGCCAGTGACTAAAGTTGTGCTATCACAGCAGTGTCCCTTGCTGCTCAGCTCTGAGCAAGAAACACTAGGTTGGCCTCTGTGGAACAGGAGTTATCAAACGCTCATCTCCCTCCTGTAGTGTATCTCATCTGATCTGGTTATTGACCGGCTGTGATAACAAAAACCACTAAGGAAAGCAAATTTTTGTTATAGCTAAAACCTCAGATTAACTGCTCTGCGCTGGACATTTCCCATCCAGGCCAACATGGATGCACTCAGCTTCTCTTCCATCAAGTTTGTGTGCTGGTAGAAAAACATCTGGGGAGGCGGATCCTGCTCCATTACCTGCCTTTAGCGATGCTTTCCATGCATCCTCACTCACTGCCATGATCCTAGTCTTCATTTCCAGCCATTGGAAATCATTAGCTGTAGTCCCATTAGATGTGGGACTAGTTAGGTGAGAGCTACCTCAGAAGAGTTTACCTCCACACAGGGTCTCCGTTGTCTATTAAAGAGCAGTCCATACTGTGAGGGCTGTACCCCCAGGATGCTGAGTTGATTGAGCTGTTAACATTATCTGAATGGTAAGTAAGCTCACTGGCCAATCTTGGCATCCTCGTGTGCCATCTCTTCTTCTCTTAGATGTTAAACCCTTCCAGTCTTGGCTAGTACTTGCTTGGAGACAAACTTATATCCATGCTGCCACATTACACAGAGCAGTTAGTTAGAAGATGGATGGGAAAAGCCCACACTGATCAAAAGCTCCGCACGAGATAGCAGTTGCTGGAGGCTCAGAATTGATTTCTTCAGATTCCACTGTTTTCATGAGAAAGAAAAATGTCTCCCTCTGCAATCAGGGCTGCCCCACGCTCTCCACTGAAGCAGGGCTCAGCCCAAGCCCTGAGAAATTCTACTGAGTTGCCTGTGCATAAACATCGATTGCAAATAGAAACCACCACCCAGT